CTCACCAACAGACCTCAGTCAGTCCGCCTCTGATGTCATCAGTCTAAGCCCCTCCCCTCAGGGCTGCGTCCTGCCGTTCACCCTGATGACACACGACTGAGATAACAGCCTGATCCTGAACGCCGCTTGAATGTTTCCACAGAACATTGGTAACGATGTAGACGTTCAGTGAAAGGTTCATGACGTCGTCCCTGTAGCAGGTCTGGTTGGTCTGATCAGGTCATGTTTATATTTGACCGTCTGAAGCAACCAGCTGCGTTTCCTTCGGTGTGTTTGTGGTTAATGGATGCAGCAGAGGAACATTCAAACCTTGCAGGACTCTAAATGTTTGCTGATGTTTCTCTTCACAGCTTCCTGCCCATGAAGCAAGGCATCCTGCTGGGTCAGTACTTTGGAGCCTTCAACCTCATGGACACATTCAGAGGACGCTCCAAGAAGCAGGAGTGAGGAGGAGGCAGAAGAATCAGGAGAGCGTCTAAATGAAGGAGATATTAAACCTGGGAGGCGTCTTTATAATCAAGAAAAAATCATCCAATGGTTTAATTTTACACAGAAAAGGGAGAACAGCTGTTTAAAGGACGGCTTTTTAATTCTAGGAAATCATTTTTCTAAACTTTTCTCTGGGTTTGGAGTTCCTGTTAATTTCCAGAAGTCGTTATTCTATTCGATAAAAACGATCATCTGTAAAGCAGGCGATCAAACAAGTTAGCTTAGCTTAAACTCAGGCTGAACTGGGAAGGATTTTCCTCATTAATTATCCTGTCCTGCGTGTTTCACTGAGCAGACTGAAGTTTTCCTGCTAAACGTCACTTTTGGGGACAAACGATGAAACTTAGTTTTCTAGGTGGATTTTCTTAAAATCAGAGAGAAACCAAACGGCTGCTTGTTGTGGGAAAAACGTCTGAATGTTTCCTGAAGGAATCAGAATGTTTTTCATGAACTCCTCATGAAATTTCAAGGCGCTGAAAACTGCAGACTGACTGATTGATAAATCTGGACCCGGTTCTCCATTCATGCCGAGCAGCGCCTTCTAGAACCACATATTCTAGATAACTCTTCAGGAAGATGCGGATCTATGGGCATTTTTCTCTCATCCATGTATATAATTCCTGTTGGAAAAATGCAAATAAAAATAAGCTTCTTTTCATTACTTCTGACCAGAAAAGAGAAATGTACGTTTCATTTTTCTTTCAAAGTTAAATTAATAGTTTAGATTTTGTAATACTTTTAGAAAAGCTTCGATTAACATTTGTTCTCACAGTAAAATAAACATTTCAAAGTGTGTCTGAAAAACGAGCAGAGAAGATGTTCATCCTTCCAGCTCTTCATCCTCTCCTGACATTAAATCTTTAAATCATTTTTCTTGTGTCATTGTGCTTTTATTGTTATTTATTTATGATTTATTCGATGCTCTTTGCAGCAGGGCTGATAAAAAACCTATAGAGTTATTTGCCCCGCCCACTTCCTGCTGCATATGCTGCCTCCTGAATTTGCCTCTTCCTGTCAAACTGTCCGACCGTAGTAGCCACGTTAGCTCAGCCATGTCTTTGTCCAAATACGTCGTCTCCTTTTCTTTTTAGGGCTTTCAGC